GTTACATGTTAGCTAAAAAGAAGCTAAGATGCCTAATATTTCACGAGAACATAGCGGCCCTGTTCGTTGGTCTGAAACTTGACTGAAAAACACTGTTCTGGCTGATTTGTTGTGAGAAAAAATACTGTAGCGGCTGAAACTGGCTGAATCTATAGAGGAGAATCAGCCGGCTGGTTCGCTAGAACCAGACCAGCGAACAAGACCAGCATCTATTGGGATCATGAATGCATGACCAGTCCTTTTATTGTGGCCACAATTGTGGCAGAAGGGGCCACCTGGCAAGCCTGTCCTGCCTTGCAGCCCCTAAATCAAGACAGAATACAGTACGAAGTGTTTGTTTCAGGTTCATTTATTTGGGATTTCAAACAATGACCCTGTTCACATGTCTTATAGGTAGGGATGAAAACGGATCGGATACGAATGGATATCACTCATATTATATTTGTTTTCATATTTCTGTTCGGATTCGGATTCGGACACGGATAGCGTTCGGATACATATACGAATACGGATCGACTCGATTACGGATACGAATAATGAGTATCGAATACGGTATGAATCGGATTCGGAGAAGGTCGGATACAAATATCTATTCGGATATTGAGTAAAAGCATATATATATATATATATATATATATATATATATATATATATATATCGTATGCATAAACCATTACACCACTCTATGAGTCCATAATCCATCTAGATTAAGCCGAAAGACTAAAGAGTAAAGCAACAAATAAGATAAAGATACGATACATCATACATCAAACATCATATAAGCACCAATCTTGGCATGATGAGTAGAAATAGCTGCCAAGCACATTGCTTCATGGGTCTCATGGAGTCATGGTCATGGATTCAAGATCTACAATCTTTATATAGGCCATTTTTTCATTTTGAGAAAGTTTGAACAAAATGTAGTTCAAATTTCACAAGTGTGTGACATAGTTTTAGAAAGTCGAGATATGAGATTTAAGAATTTGTGACTAGTGTTTGATAAAACTTTCTCAAATGGGAAAATGAGCTATGTAACAATTGTATATCTTGCTGAGATGATCAAACTTGGTATTCAGAGTTTTTTCATCTGAGGTCATTTAGTGTCTCATTTGAACAAGTTTGACCAAGTCAAATTTGGTCAAATGAAAAAACAACACTTTGACTCTAGTATTATGAACTCTAAATGACTTCAAATTGAAAAGTTTTGAATACCAAGTTTGTTCAACTCATCAAGATCTACAATTTTTGTTTTGGTCAACTTTCCATTTGAGATAGTTTGGACGGTTCAAATTTGTGATTTTTAAATTTCGGACGCTTTAAAACTAGTTTTCGAACCCTAGATTGTCTCAAATTGAAATGTTTTGAATACCAAATTTGTTCATCTCATCAAGATATACAATCCTTATATAGGCCATTTTTTATTTGAGAAAGTTTGAACAAAATATAGTTCAAATTTCACAAGTGTGTGACATAGTTTCGTAAAGTCTATATGAGATTTAAGAATTTATGACTAGTGTTTGATAAAACTTTCTCAAATGGGAAAATGAGCTATGTAACAATTGTAGATCTTGCTGAGATGATCAAACTTGGTATTCAGAGTTTTTTTCATCTGAGGTCATTTAGTGTCTCATTTGAGCAAGTTTGACCAAGTCAAATTTGGTCAAATGAAAAAACAACACTTTGACTCTAGTATTATGAACTCTAAATGACTTCAAATTGAAAAGTTTTGAATACCAAGTTTGTTCAACTCATCAAGATCTACAATTGTTGTTTTGGTCAACTTTCCATTTGAGATAGTTTGGATGGTTCAAATTTGTGATTTTAAATTTTGAATAAATATCCTGGATAATATCCGTTTTTTAAATATCCGGATATATCCGATACTTATCCGGATTATCCGATATCCGCCGGATATCGATGATATTACATCCGTATTTGATATCCGCCTAAGATATCCGTTTTAGTATCCGTAAAAAAAAAAAGCGGATATCCGAGTAACTATCCGATAAGTGTTCATATTTGTTCAGAATACACGGTCGAATAAATATCCATACCGTTTTCATCCATACTTATAGGTTCAGCTGAAAAAACCGAAATCATTTATTTCCTTGTTGATTTTGTTCCATTGATTTCTGTGAGAAAAACATTATTCCGGCTGAAAAAATAAACTAAAAAGTACGGATTATAAGAGAAGCGAACAGGGCCATAATCCATACTTTTCAGCTTGTTTTTTTCAGTCGGAACAGTGTTTTTCTCTCACGACGAATCAATCGGAACAGTGATTTGGCTTGTTTTTTCAGCGAAGCGAACGAGGTCAATGCGTTTTGTAAATTTGGGACTCTAAACATTGACTTTGCAAAAATAGGTCTTCAAGAGTTGCACCCTTGATTTTCATGCCATTACGCGTATTTCATCTCTTTTTTAAGCTATACATGTGTTGAGACCTGAAAGGACTAATCGCCGCGGGCAACGCCAAGACGACACCGCCGTCCGTCGCCACGGCGGCACCAGCTGTCGAGACCGTCAGCGGGCCTTCTGCTCCCCAGTGCCGGCGACCCCGCCGTGGTCGGAGCAGTTCCACGCGGTGGTGATCACGAACCAGACGGCGCGCGGTGGCCAGCTGCAGCAGATCGACATCTACTATGACCGGCCGCGCGGGCGCGGGCTAAACATCATCCGCGGCTAGCTCGACTCCGGCGGCGGCGAGCCGCCGCTCCGGGACGTTCAGTACTCAGTGGACCAACGGCACCTCCTTCCTGTTCGACTCTGCGTCCTGCCGCGCCTTTCAATACCCCGTCAGCCTCCTGTCGCCCGACTGGAAAGCCCGCGGTGGCGCCGTGGCGCCGCCTACCTCGGGCGCGACCGCGTCGACGGCTTGCTCTAAATTTCTTCCGCCTGTCAGTACGTGTTTGCTGGATGCATGTGATTTATTATGCAATTGTGCGCTCTTGTTTCCCAAGGACAGGGATGCAGCGGCATGTGCTGAGCTTTGAGGTGGGATGCACGGCGCCGCTGCTTCTGCTCATCGGGTCGCCGTGGCTCCTCCGGGTCTCCGGCTGCTGCTCATCAGGTCTGTCAGGGAGAAAATACACGTATTTGGAATAAAAAAGAGATGAAATAAAGTGTGTACCGTTTGGAGACCTATTTTTACGAAGTAGATGTATTTCTCAAATCTACGAAGCGCATTAAATATATAATTTTCTCGTGCTGCTAGGCTTAGGCAGTTGGGAGAGGCCAAGTTATAGCGGCTGGACTCGGCGGGCGGCGGCAGGAATCGAGTGCGGGAAATCTCCGGCGGCAGTGGGATGAGCAGCGGCGGTCGTGGGAGCCCCGTCTCCGATGTCTGGTCCGTTCGAACTCGAGTGAAGAGAGTACGCAGAGCCGTAGGGCGCAGGGAGCAGGTGGCGGCGGCATGGAGGCATCCTCTGGGGCGCTCGGCGGCGGCGCGGTAGGGGGCGCCAGGAGGCGGCTGCGTCGGAGAGGAGACTGCGCGAGACCAAGATCGTCGTGCGGGGTGGGGAGATCGCGCGAGACCGGGCCCACCGTGCGAGAGTGGGAGCGAGGGAGCGCACGGGGAAGGGATCGCAGGAGGCGGCAGAGCGACGACCCAAGTTTTTTTTTTTGTCGCACCATTCAGTTGTCTTAGTTTTGTTGTTTTTAGTTGTATATCGTATAGGAGATTGTAGGAGATAATATTGTTTGGGAAAAAAATTTCGTCCAGCGGCACGTGAGCGACGAGCCTCATGCCGTGGCGCGCGACGACCTCAGTGCTGCCCTCGGCCAACACCACCATGACGTCCGCCTTCGGTCAGCGCAGCGCGTCGATGATCACAAGGACCTCGGCCCCTCCATCTCCTCGCTCGCGTTGGCCAGCGGGATCAGGAGCCTAACTAATCCAAGCCGAGCTCGCCGCCGCCTGGGCCGAACTTGCCGCGCGCGTCGCCGTGGCCATGAGGCCTCGCTCATCGTTCACCGTTGCCTATGCCATCGCCAGCTGCCACCCTCCGCCCTGTTCTACCCGCGGCAGCATCTGGGGAGCCACCACTGCTTCTTGCAGCTTCAGTGCACTGTGCGACAAGAGAAGCAATTAGAGAGCTGCAAGGAATGAATTAACCACACTGCTCTGGGTTTGGACCTTCACCATCCCGTTTTGATCTGGAAGTTCCTGCCATCATGCCCGTGGTGAAGGAACTGTGCGGCTTGGACAACGTGGAAAGGTACTTGGAGAGCCTGCTGAGCTCCGAATGAAGAGCCACTCTCACAGTCAGCACCTGCATGTTTTCCCTACTCCCTTAAAGTCGTGGACAAATCACAATAATGTTTTGTTACGCGGTTCGGTATGTGCCCAAGTCATCAGAGAAGAGAGCTTCGTAGCTGTAGGCAGTAGATATCATTCACAATAATGTTTTGTTACGCGGTTCGGTATGTGCCCAAGTCATCAGAGAAGAGAGCTTCGTAGCTGTAGGCAGTAGATATCATCAAGGTCTTTTTGCAAGTACGATTTGTCAACGAGAGCATTTTTGGTTTCGAGCACGGCAGACTTCCTTTTGGGCATATCCATCCCCATTGGGTAAAAGGTGTATACTTGCTATTGTAGTTCAGACAGTCACAGGGTATTATAGCAGATCACAGAGAACATACTTGCAGCGATGGAATTGAGACTACTGAATGTGTAAATGGGTAATTGAGACTATTGAATGTGTAAATGGGCGTATCCAGTGCAGAGAGCTCCCGATCCAACAACATTTAGGGGTATATCTCTTATTCACATAGCCAAGTATTACAGCGATATGTATCGGGATCGGGAGGATGACGCACTCCACTCAGCTATATGTTTCTCTGCATAGTGAGACACACATAGATCCAGATATTTACATATGTAGCATTTTACAACTCAGCTCAACATGTTTGTTCCTTTACACAGTGCAATGCATGAGTAAAGATTTATAGAACCAGATCAGAGTTATTGTTACATGAACTGCTGCAGGAGCTCCACAAGATCAGGCTGCCGCAACAGGATTCTGTTCCTTGACCTTGCTCTCTCCACCCTGTTCCAGTATATGTGCAGGCACCTCTGCCGTGTCCTTTCCTTTGTCCTCCTGTACATGTGCAGGCTTCTCTTCATTGGTCTTTCCCTTGCCGCTTTCTTCCAGCTCTTTCAGCTGCCTCAGGATATCTTCTTTCTTAGCCTGTAGGTCTTGCAATTTGGCATCCACCTTCTCCAGTTTTGCTTTCAGCTTCACTGGATCGGTCGTCTTCTCCTTTGCACCCTTGTCTTTCTTCTTACCTTCTCCGTCTTCCTCGCCATCACCCTCTTTCTTCTTACCATCTTCCTTCTTGCCACCCTTGTCCTTCTTCTTCTCATTCTTTTCTTTGTCTTTCTTCTCGCCTTGATCGTCCTCACCACCATCCTTCTTTTTCTTCTTGACTTCGTCCTTGTCCTCCTCCTCTTTGTTTTTCTTCTTGCCTTCTGAATCTTTACTATCAATTGCTTTCTCCTGTGGTTCAGTGTCAGTTAGCTTGATTTCACGGGTGCCCGAGTCTGCAGCTCCTGCCAACTTTTTGTTCATGTGAACATCCTTCTGTGCGGCCTCACCATTCTTCTCTAGATGGGCTTCCTTTTGTTCCATCTCTTCGCTCTTCTTGTCTTTGCCTTTCTCTTGTTTTTCATCACTTGAACCCTTTGGTTCAGATCCATCCTTTTCTTTGTCCTTTTTATCCTTCTTATCTTTATCTTTGTTTTCTCTCTTCTTGTGTTTCTCCTCCTCCCCTACATCTTTGTCACCTTCCTTCTTTTTCTTATCTTTCATTTTCTCTTGTTTCTCATCAATTGAACCCTTCGACTCTGATCCATCCTTGTCTTTTATCTTCTGTTTAGCCTTCTTATCGTTCTTGTCTTCATCTGCCTTTTCTGAAGCTTCACCATCTTCCTTCGTTTTCTTGTCTTTCTCCTTTTTATCCTTCTTCTTAACCACCTTCTCATCATCTTCATCATCTTCATGCTTCTCCGACTTCTCCTTCTTCTTCTCTTTGTCTTTCTTCCCCTCTTTACCCTTTTCCGCAGACCCTGCACCATCACCCGAGTCTTTGACCTCTTCCTTCTCTATCTCGATCTCCTTCTTGTCGTCGACCTCACCTGTCGACTTGTCCTTGCTCTTGAACTTGAGATGGACATCATCCTTGGACTTCTTCTCCTCCTCCTTCAGCTTGGGAGCTTCTTTGTCCTTCCCCATCTTGAATACGATCAAGCCGCCCTGCAGGATGCTGCTACAAATTTCAGTCACTTTTGAATGAATTTGCTATGCTATGGATGAATGGAGCATATTCCTAGAAAACAATTCGTTTATTGGCGTGGATTTTTTCCCCCACAAAGAGAATCTTACAGGTCCTTATTCTATCAACCATTTCACGATGTTCACGCAGATAATGCTAATGGAATCTGGATTGGGAGGTTGAACAGAGTGAGTATCCGAAGAATCAACTCGGTACCATCTAGGCTCTGCAGCCGCTGCGAAATCTAGTGGAACATATAACATCAGGCACGAACCGGGCGCTGTCAGTCAGCCAGCGCGCACACACGTCCCCGAGCAAAGGCAAGCACTATGGGGAACCGATCCGTCCAACTGGAGTAACAGGACTGCAGGAGTGGGGATGAATAGAGGAGCGTTTCTTCGGTTCTCACCTTGATGGTGGCGACGCTTCGGCGTCTTAGCTTGTTCAAAGATCACGCAGTAGAAGTAGAGGGAACGATCCGCCGGCAGCCGTGGCGGTGGCGGCGCGGTGCGGGATGGGAGATCAGCTCGGCTCAGCTGCCCCCAGCTAGTCAGTCGGCAAGATCTGGGAGGCAATCAGGCAAGCAAAGCAGAAGAAGGACGCGTGCCGCAGCGGCTTCGAGAATGGACGCGGCATCCGGCCTTCGTTTATAGAGCGGAGTGGAGAAGACGCGAATGGAAAGGATAAGAAGGCCGGCGGGAGGTGACGTGCGTCGCCGCGTCCGTCGGTGGTGTGGTGGGGACAGGGGAGGTTTGCCGACGGTGGAGCCGCGTGGGCGAGCGATCTGCTTTGTCGGCTGGGCGTCTCGGAGTTTCGTGGGCCGTGGGCTTTAGCTGCAATGGCTTTTGTGGCGGTAGGTCGGTGCGCGCTCATGGACGCGATCTGCACACTGGGCTTCGTGGCGACGGGACTTATATTTTTCCTGTTTTAGTTTCTCAAAAAAATTTAAGCGCCCTTTTGTATGTATGCAAGGATTTGTAAAAGTAGTTCCACAAACTCGAGTTTTCGCGGTCATATAATGATATATGTGTCGTCGTTACTGCTAGAAAAGATTTTATTTTCCAACACCAAGAGTAGAAGATGTATGGCGCTTTCACTTTGTAGTTTGCCATGCTCTCTCGAGAAAAAAAAAGTTTTCCATGCTCCAAGAGGATGTAAACAGGATATTATACAGCTATATAAGACTACCACGTTATTAGGAGTTGTTTTGATGCCCATATATTTACCTCAATGCACATGTGTTGAGCAGATTGAGGCGCACTCTAATCCTTCTCAACACTGTGGATTAAGTGAATACATAAACATCAAATAAGGTGTTAGTTTTTTCCACATCCAATCGCAGAATGGACCGTCCACACTGTGTAGTGGCCAGCGTATGTAGTGCTCACTCTCGTCAGAAAAAGTCGTGTACAACAAAAAAAATTGATGAAACCTTTAAAATTACAAACATCAATAATAATTATTAAATCTTTTAGCTTACGACTTTATGATCATCAGGATATATTGGTACATTTGTACGAAAAATAATTACAAATTCTCATAATCTAAAAGATTTCAAGAATACATTTTAAAATATATTGGTCATGTTCGCTTGTCTTACGAGCCGTATTGTTTCAGCGAAGGAACAGTGTTTTTCTCTCACAACAAATCAGCGAACAGTACTTTCAGTCATAGCTTTTCAGCGAAGCGAACATGACCATTATTGTGCATCAGACGAAACATAAACAATTGTGACAAATAGTAGCCCCTCATCTGCAGAAAACGGATAGCATAATTGTCCACCAAGACAAATAATAACAAGTCCCCTTAGCCAGGCTAGAGTAGAGCTTTCTCCATCGTAGAGCTAGAACATGCCCAAGCGACCGAATTTTTTATATTTTAACCTTTTTTTAAAAAGTTTCTTATAAATAGACCTTTGGAGAAAAGATTTCATAATATAAACCCTTAGCTCAGCGCCATTGATGCTGACGCCGAGCTAACACGTCTCGGTGCCAGCGTCCCTGGCGTCGAGCTCCTGGGCTCGAAGCGAACTAGGGAGGTGACATGGCAGGGAGCTCGATGCCAGTCGCTCTGGCGCTGAGCTCGGCGCCAGAGTGACTAGCGCTGAACCTTTATTACCTATGGGCCTCGCCCCTCTCTTCCTCTCTTCCTCTCCCTCTCTCGCCCCAGCAGAGCAGAGCCGAGCTTCGCTGCCTCCGCCGCCCGCGCCTCCACCGACCGCCCTCGCCCGCGTCGCCCGCGCCACGCCACCACCACACACCAGCGCCAGCCTCCTTGCCCCTCGCCGGTTCTCGCGCCACACCGCCTCTCCTCGCCTTGGCCTCGCCCATGCCTTGTTGCCCTCCACCACTGGCTGACCTCGGCGGCCATGTCCGTTTGCCTCCGCCCCACGAGCCGGACTCACCGCGTGGAGCCCCAGTATCCTGCTGCTGCACAAGGCCATCATTGTCGTCGGCCAGCCACCACCGTCGATCCCACCACCTGCAGCGCCCGGTCGTGCCACCGTCGGCCCGGATCGTCGGCCTGACCCACGCCCGTCGTCCGCTGCGACTCCGTCGACGTCCGCGGATCAGTCGTTGGAAAGGTCAAAATTATGAATATGCAATGTACCTACTTAGTTGGCATTTGTTATTTACTAGTTAATGTGATGACTCAGGTAGTTGATTTAGTTAGTGATCTAGTGAGATATATATGTAGATAGATAGAAACATAGATACATAGGTACATAGATATAGTTAGATAGCTACTTAGATATGTAGTGACATATTTAGTTAAATAAATATGATCTAGCTATTTAGTGAGTACACTGTATATATATACGTAGTTATTATCTTATTTACTTAGTTTATAGTTAGAAAGTACTTGTTAGGTACTATCTATCGGCTAATTTGGACTAAAGGACATGTGTTTCATTACGTGTTTGAACTAGATGGACAACCTAATGACCATATATCATGGAGACACCGTTGAAAGCGATCGCTATGGATATGTTGAGTTTGTTGACATGCAAAGCATGCCTGTGCTATTCAATGATAGGCCTTCATTTAGTGAGATGATTGCAATGGCTCGGGAGGAGCTGCATTGCCTTGGAGATGATGGCATTGCAGTTGATGGTGTACTGCACCTAGGTTCTCCTCCCAACCCTCAGGCGAATGATCTCAATTGGTTGTGCGGATCAGTGGGAGAACTATGTGAGATCGGTTATGAAGAGCCAGCTGCAATGTTTGGACGTGGTTGTGCGTCGGGTGTTAGTTGATCCCATCCCTCATGGGTTTTTCCCCACCAATGGATCAGCAGGCACACATCGACCCTCCCGTTCCGGAACCTTATATGCATGTGGAGATTACACATACGGTTCCCAATGCTCAATCTGCCCCCAATGCGGTAGTTGGAGATGCTTGTCAGACTCATGTTTTCGTGGTAGATCCTCCTCATGAGATCCCTTTGACACAGAATCATCCGAGTAAGTGTCTTAACCGCATGGTTTTTGGGAGCTTACCCCGTTCCTTACATCTATTTTTTTATTCTTTCCTCATTTCTCTACTTATGTTGTAGGAGATATTCCTGAGAATGTGGATGTGCCCCTTGTTACTGCGCAAGTGCACTTTAGAGATGGATTCCGTGGCTCCAATAGTGTTGAAATTATGCATGATTCGGAGCCATATGAGGTGGCTAGGGCTCTTGATTCTGATGATGATCGCCCTATTGGAGAGCTGACAGAGAGTGATGTTGAGATGCTGAGGCGTATCTTTCCCGGCCACCGTGATCCTAGAGTTCACGAGTTCAGCGATCTTGCTCATTCCTATCAAGCGTTTGCAGAAGGATGTGATGATGAGCTCCTAGAAGCTCCTGAGTCCGGTCCTAACATGGTAATTGAGAATGGAAGGGTGTTCAATGACCTCCCTACATTGAAGAGATGGTCGCGGGCTTTTGCAGTGATACGAAAGAGACCTTACAAGGTATTGCATTCATATGCGGAGCGCCATTACACAATTGTGTGTGACAAGGAATGTTGTCCATGGAGGGTTTGTGCAAGGAAGCAACAGGTCACTGAAAAATGGAAGATCACAAAAGTTATCGGGCCACACAATTGTGCTGACCATGAGCTGACACTGAGGCATCGGCAGTTGACATCTACCCTCATTGCCAAGCGGTTGATGGGAATTTTACAGGGAGAACCCAAAATGAAGGTGAGGACAATTATCAGGACCATTGAGGCGTTGTATGGAGATTATGTGATAACTTATGGTAAAGCATGGAGGGCTAAGCAGTGAGTGTGGAAGATGATATATGGGGACTGGGAGGATGGATATGAGCAGCTGCCAGTTCTTTTCAATGCAATCAAAGCGGTGAATCCAGACATGCATTATGAGGACATCCCAAAACCAAATGCATGGAAGGATGGGAGGCAGATATTCTTTCGTGCTTTCTAGTGCTTCCCTCAGTGTGTCGAGGCCTTCAGACACTGTCGTCCCGTCTTCTGCATTGATGGTACGTTCTTGATTGGCAAATATCAGGGCACACTTCTTATAGCCATATCCTGTGACGCGAACAACAAGTTAGTTTCTTTGTCATTTGCTTTGGTTGAGAAGGAGAACAATGACAGTTGGGGATGGTTCTTGAGGCTAGTCCGGATACACGTGGTTGGGCCTAGCAGGGAGGTTGGCGTCATATCTGATAGGCACCAGGGCATACTTAATGTCGTGCGAGAGCAGATAAAGGGGTATGCACCTTTGCACCATCGTTGCGTACTCAACACCTTGCCGAGAATCTACTCCGGAAAGATGGTGTGAAGGGTAACTTTGATCTGTTCCAGGAGGCTGCTCGACAGCTTGAGGACAAGTACTTTCAGGAAAAGTTGGAGCAGGTCAGAACCACATCAAATGTAGAAGGTAGACAATGGCTCACAGGTTTGATGAGGGATTTGGAGAAATGAACGAGAGCTCACGACGCCAGTGGATGGAGGTACGAGTTTCAGTGCAGCAACATGGCAGAGTCATTCAATAAGTTGCTATTGGGGATACGTGGTATGCACGTGAATGCAATTTCATGTGTTTTCACGCGGGTGGAGGGGCGCTGGCCGCGGCGCGGCGTGGGGGGCGGCACGGGGCGTGACGCTCGGCGAGCGCGAGCGCGGGGGCGGCGCGGCGCGGGCGTGGGCGCCCGATGGAGGCGCGTGCGCGGGCGGCGGCGACGGTGAAGCTCGGCTCTGCTCTGCTCTGCTGGGGCGAGAGAGGGAGAGGAAGAGAGGGGCGGAGCCCATAGATAATAAAGGCTCGGCGCCAGTCACTCTGGCGCCAAGATCTACGGCGCCGAGCTCGGCGTCAGAGCGACTGGCGCCGAGCTCCCTGCCATGTCACCTCCCCGTTCGCTTCGAGCCTAGGAGCTCGGCGCCAGGGACGTGTTAGCTCGGCGCCAGCATCAATGGCGCTGAGCTAAGGGTTCATATTCTGAAATCTTTTCTCCAGAGATCTATTTGTGAGAAACTTTTAAAAAATAGCTAAAATGTAAAAAAATTGGCCCGAGCGACATCCGAGAGCGCCCAATACCATCTCTTCTCAGCGGGTTACTTGCCGTTGTTTCATCATCCTTTCACAATAATTTAACCCAGCCGCGCGAATATGGGCTACCACTATGATTGGATTATATTAGTATACTAAAAAGACAATGGGTCTGTTCGTTTGTCTGAATTCTGGAGGAATTTGAATGGTTTGAAGGAATGCTGAAAAAATTTGTGAGAGAAAAATACTGTTTCAGATAAAAAAATAAATGAATAAGCTAGGTTTCGTGTCAGCCGAACAAGGCCAATGTGATTGGATGCTTGTTTTGGATTACAGTAATGAGCAGGAAAACACGCTTGCGCTGTCCTCCAGCTTGGACAGCTTGCCCCCGGCGGGCCCCGCGCACCAACCGTCACCCGCCACCCGCCACCTCTAGGCTCCAGCAGCCCTCCCGTTCGTTCCGTGGGCGCCCGTCCACCTGCGTCGGGCCCGCGAGAAGACCGGCAGGTGGGCCCCCGCGCGCCACTCGCGGAGTCCGGTGCAGGTGGGCCCGACGTAGCCGCTGTTTTGTCTCCGTCTGCCTCTGGCAGTGGCTGGCAGCCGACCTGGCCCAGCTGACCTACATGTTCGTTTCGGCTTATTGGTTCATATCTGACTTATAATCTACGGCTTAAATAATATTTTTCTCTCACATCAAACTAGCTAACAGTATTTTTAGCCATGTCTTATAAGTTAATTCAGCCGAAACGAACAAGCTAACTCAGATACGAACGAATAAACCAAAACAAACATGCTAAGTATTTTTTTCAAATGATAAATCAGCTTCAGCCGGTTTATCCGTAGATTTTAATACCAGCCGACCTGACCTGACCTGACGCGGAGTTCCAGCGCAGAGTTGGAAAATCTGCTACGGCTACATGACGCAGTGAACTCGCTTTCACGGCCGGCCGCGCCCGGGGAAGGAAGCAACGCAGTCAAGCGGCCAGAGCCACTAGAGTCCGTTGGAGTAGGAATTTTTTTTTTGATGGAAACGTTGGAGTAGGAATGTAGGAATGTAATCTGGAGAAGGGCTTCTTCGTCGTCGTCAATTCAAGCGGATTTCAACGGGACGAGGGATGAAAAAGGCAGCTGAGACAATGTTAAACACTAGCATAATGTACAGTACATTTGCTTACCAGGTCAAGATACCGTGACCATTTGTTACGTTTATTTGCCACGAAACCCACTCAAAAAATAGGTTAAAATCATCGGCTTGCGAAGAAACCCGCTTGCACGGCTATCATTTGTTGAGATCTTCAGTGGCTGGATTTTTGCCAAAAAAAAATGCAGCTCTAGTGCTCTACCTTGCAACACTTCTTTCCCTTTCCTCGCTGAATACAGAATTCAATTCACACCCCTGGAATTGGAAAGAAGAAAAGAAAAGAAAAGCTTTTCATGACACTTGCCAGCCTGCCTGCCGAAAACGATCCCCGGGTGGCCCACCTGCCAGCCTCAGCACCCGCAGTGTTAACCCCTGCCCACCCCACCTCTCTCCCCAGCTTTAAGCATCCTCTGCGGCGCAATGGCCACACCTTCCTCCTCCCCCCGGCCTCCGCTCTCCTCGCCGCTCGCCGCCCTCTTGCCTCCCTCTCCTCGCCGCTCGCCGCCATGAACAACCTCCTCACGGTAAGCGCCCCCCGTCTCCTCCCTCCCCTCCTTCCCTCCCTCCACCCTCTCCTGTCTTCCGGGAAGACTCCCCCGCCTCCGCAGACCGCAGCCGCTCGCCGGGATCCGGCGCGCGAGCTCGAGATCTGGGACGGGCCGGTCGGTGCTGCCTGCTCCTCCCCACGGGGACCGCCGGCGGAGCCAGAGCTTGGTTTGCGGAATCGGAGGTAGCGGCGGCGGAGTGAGCAGCGGGGGAAGGGATTGCTTGAGCCGCGCGGCGGCGGGTCGGAATGCTGGGCGTGCGGCGGAAGGAACCGGCCCCGGGGTTTCTCGGCTACGTGCTGTAGGGTGCCCGCTTGCCGGGCGGTCGCCTTAGATCTGCGTCCTTTTGGTTTGGGAGCAGCTGAATTGCGTTGGAACTTGGAAGCAAAATGGGCTCGCTGAGCTTCTGGCTGCTTGTTCTGTGCCTCCTTCCTTGGGTTCATGGGTTGTGCCGGGGATGGAGATGTTCTCTTTGTTTTCCCCTTCCTCTGAGCTAGTATTCTCTTCTTACCTTTGGAGTAGACTGTTCTGCACTCCTGCTTCAACCATCTATCTCAATGAACAACTGCTTTAATTGCTCGTGGAGCAATTGCCTTGATTGAACAGCTGCAATGATCACTGGTTGTTGTATTAAGTGCTGCCGTTGAAGTGTTCTAGTTCAGGATGCATTGTATTCGCTGGAGCTTGATGTGTTTTTAAAGCTTGTTCTTTTTGCATCCATTTGGCTACAACTTTTTCATGGTGCATCGTAATCTTTGTTAAATACACTTTTGCAATGGAAAGGATGTGAAAGATTCAAACTGGAAATCTATCTGCTCTGCTTGGATGGAATGCTGATATTTCCTATGTGGGCTGCAATCCTGTTATTTTAAGTTGGCACATTCATGTAGAACGCGGCTTTTCATATTGGGCTTATAAATTATATAATTTGTTAGCATTCGTCTGCGATTGCACTGTGGTACATGCTTAACATATTATGTACATTCGAATTCCACAGGATTCCTTTGAGCTCCCTCGGCGGGACTCCTCAAGAGATGCGGACATTGAAATGGGAATGCATCAGGCTGATGCTTCAGACAACTTAAAAGATTTCTTGAAGAAGGTGCTGTTTGCATAAATACTCTGCTGCCTGCATCTCTTCATCTTACCATATTTACATTATTACATGTACTCTCCTGTTTGCATCGAATTACATATTGTTAGTCCTACTCAAACATTTTTCCTTGTGATTAATGACATAATGATTTGTGATATAACAGGTTGATGCAATTGAGAGTTTAATTGCAAAGCTGACAAATCTATTGAATAAGCTCCAGGTACATTCATTCCGCATTCACTATTTGTCGTTTTCCATTTCTTATGCTAACGGCCTGGATTTTAATAGTGACAATGGAATTTTGTTTTTTATTACTATTTTCCTTGTGAATCTACGTTCGACATGTGCATTGATATCAGAAACCTAACTTTTGTTTGTAGACTGCAAATGAGGAATCCAAAGCAGTTACAAAAGCAAGTTCCATGAAAGGTAAGTACTTGTTTATTCTAGCGGATTTAACCTTTATCTGAAATATGTATGCACTCTTTTGGAAATACCTCTATGCTTATGGTTAGACGCAACTATTCTTTTTTCCCAGCAATTAAGCAGCGGATGGAGAAAGATATTGATGAAGTGGGGAAAATTGCTCGTCAGGCAAAGACAAAAGTTGATGAACTGGAAAAAGATGTATGCTCTTGCTTGACCCTGATAGTTATCAGTATTTGTCTTAGCAATATCTACATAAATCAAATTGGTCCATGCTTATTGTGGAAATTATACAAATGCGTCATAACTTGGCCAATCGTAGTTCTGATAATTGCTAGATGAAATTGAGAGCCTTAACTTTGTTATATGTCATTTTGTAAGATTTTATGTTCCGAAACATTGCTAAATTCACTGTAACCAAACAACAATTCCTGAAACTTATGAAATAGGTATCTATAATTATTTAAATCGAGCTGACTTGAGCACTGCTATCAACAATTAACCTTGAATTGTTCGCTACCATTATGGAACAGAACTTATCGAATAGGCAAAAACCTGGATGTGGAAAGGGTTCTGCCGTGGATCGATCGAGAGAGCAAACTACTGGGTAAATTTACATTTCATCTCAGAGCCTTTAGTTATGCTGCTTACTTGCTTACATGAATTTGTTGTTTATTCAATATGTTTTCCAATTCTACAGAGCAGTGAAAAAGAAATTGAAGGAGCGGATGGATGATTTTCAGGTACTGTGCTCCTTTAGTGGAAAATTCCTGCCTTTCCATGCATGCGATGTTTATGCTGTTTTGTGATTATAACTATTAACATAGGATGATCTTAAAACACAAACTTGTACACAATTAATTGCTCCTAGGAAGATTTAAATATGGTTTCTAAAGTAGCAGAGAGGAAGTGTTCTAGTTTTCCATGCTTTAAGAGACATCCAATTATAAGAGTTCTGCATGCCTGACTCATTATAAGCAGGGGGGGTATCTTACTGATGATTGCATGTTTTACTCAACTAAAAAAATATTAAAAATGGTCAGCTACAGGTTCGGTTCTCAGTATTAGTTAGCTGGTGGTATGATTCTAGAAGAGCTTCGAGTTTGTAAATCATTGTGAATACCTGCCAATTGCCAACAAATCTGTGGAGAAAATTAAATATATTGGTTGTATTATGTAAGTTACCTTGTTAATGTCTGGTGCAGACCTTGAGAGAAGCAATCAGGCAAGAGTATCGGGAGGTTGTTGAAAGAAGGGTTTTTACTGTAACTGGTAGTCGTCCTGATGAAGAGGTGAGTATTGCACCTGTGCACCACCATACTTCTAACCTGTGGCTATGTTTGTACATGTCATTGAGCTGTTATTTTCCAGTGAACTTTGATTATGGTTTGACTTCACAATTTCTCATGCGCTTGCCTCTAACCCTGCAGACAATTGATGACTTGATAGAGACCGGAAAAAGTGAGCAAATATTCAAAGATGCTATCCAACATCAGGGAAGAGGCCAGGTATGTGGTCTACCATAGTTACATAGGTCATTATGAGTTATGAGGTAGTATATTGGTTTCAGGTAACAGGTCTAGCTTTGTCTGTTTACAGCATTGATTTGTTATAAATATGTTACTTTTCCACATTTGCAGATACTGGACACAGTTGCTGAAATACAGGAGCGACATGATGCTGTAAGGGATCTAGAGAGGAAGCTTTTGGAGTTGCAACAGGTGATGCCTTTTTCTTTTCTCTTTTTTTTTGGCATAAGCTCTTCTATGTAACAATATAGTATGTTACAAAAGCTATGGCCATTCAATGAACACAGTTCCCCTCAATATACCGTCTAGTTTCCAACAGAAGACTCTAAATAAATAGGCAACACTAACTGGTGTAGTTGCTGCGTCCCTAACTCATGTGATTATGTGTGGTCTGGGATGGGGGTGGGCGGTCAACTGTTGGAGCTGGCTGCTGGGATTAATTTAGAACAACAACAACAACAACAACAAAGCCTTTAAGTCCCAAACAAGTTGGGGTAGGCTAGAGTTGAAACCCAGCAGAAGCAATCAAGGTTCAGGCACGTGAATAGCTGTTTTCCAAGCACTCCTATCTAAGGCTAAGTCTTTGGGTATATTCCATCCTTTCAAATCTCCTTTTATTGCCTCTACTCAAGTCAACTTCGGTTTTCATCTGCCTCTCTTCACGTTACTATCCTGGCTTAGGATTCCACTACGCACCGGTGCCTTTGGAGGTCTCCGTTGGACATGTCCAAACCATCTCAACCGGTATTGGACAAGCTTTTCTTCAATTGGTGCTACCCCTAATCTATCACGTATATCATCGTTCCGAACTCGATCCCTTCTTGTATGACCGCAAATCCAACGCAACATACGCATTTCCGCGACACTTATTTGTTGAACATGTCGTCTTTTCGTAGGCCAACATTCTGCACCATACATGGTAGGTCTAATCGCCGTCCTATAAAACTTGCCTTTTAGCTTCTGTGGTACCCTTTTGTCACATAGGACTCTAGATGCTTGGTGTCACTTCATCCACCCTGCTTTGATTCTATGGCTAACATCTTCATCAATATCCCCGTCTCTCTGTAGCGTTGATCCTAAGGCCCTGTTTGGTTACCCCTCCTAAAAGCTTTAGGAGCTAAAATCTAGATAGAATCTGTCTAAAGAACCAAACACCCCCTCCTAAAACCTCCTAAAAGTTTTAGGAGGCTGGTTTTTCTTTAGGAGCTCCACCCCCTCCTAAAACCTCCTAAAGTTCTTCCTGGACCCCCACTACCCCTCATTTATTGCCCCCTCCCCCTCTCTCTCTCTCCTAAAGAAGGGTAAAAGTGTCTTTGTTCAACAACATTTATTGCTTTTAGTTAGTTTTAGGAGATACAACCAAACACTCTTTTAGAATGTTTTAGAAGGCTACCTAAAACTTTTAGGAACTAAAGTTTTAGGAGCTCGGAACCAAACAGGGCCTAAATATCGAAAGGTATCATTCCTAGGCACTACTTGACCTTCCAAACTAATATCTTCCTCCTCCCGAGTAGTAGTGCCGAATACTGAGTCTAAAACCTTTGGACTCCAAAGTCTTCCGCCATAACTCTAGTTTCTGATTCACTCCTGTCCGACTTATTAAGTAGCACTACATCGTCCGCGAAAAGCATACACCAAGGGATGTCCTCTTGTATGTCCCTTGTGACCTCATCCATCACTAAGGCAAACAAATAAGGGCTCAAAGCTGACCCTTGATGTAGTCCTATCCTAATCGGAAAGTCATCCGTGTCTCCATCACTTGTTCGAACATTAGTCACAACATTGTTGTACATGTCCTTAATGAGCCCGATGTACTTCGTTGGACATGGCAACATAGAACACTTAAATAATATATAATACACATAAAAACACATGTACCTTTCTGTAAGTTGACCGTCTCTGCCTTGTTATACCATTTCTTTGTTTTTGTGTTTTAGATATTCATGGACATGGCAGTTCTTGTTGAGGCTCAAGGAGACATGATCAACAACATCGAGACACATGTAATAGTTCTCTACTTCTGCATTGAGCCTGTTGTATATAGGACAAGCACCATGTGTTTTTTTAATAATTAATAGCAAGCTTGATGAAATCACTTACATGTCAATTTCCACCCTCTGTTTCAAGGTCTCGAACGCCACCAATCACATACAGCAAGGTGTGACCGCACTCCAGAACGCGAAGAAACTGCAGAAGAACTCGAGGAAGTGGATGTGCTACGCCATCATCCTACTGCTGGTGATAGTGGTGGTCATTGTCGTCGCAGTCATCCAGCCATGGAAGAAAGGCTAGCGTGGCTCCAAACAGGGAGGGCATGGCCTTGGCATGGGATATACGTTGCCCCTTTTTTCTGTTTGTGTAATATGTGTGCAGTTTTTTTGTGGGTGATTCGTGATTTATCGTTGTACCTATGGTCGACACAACAGAAGCCTTGGCATTTCGATTTATTCTGTCTGGGATAGTCCGGCCCGGTGGTAATGACACTTCTATGGCCCCAGCTCTCTGAAATGCCGCTGTGATTATATGCCGATGAAAAAAAATGACGCTCCTGAATATTTCCTCTAGCTGTGCAGTGTGCTGGCAACCCTTGGCCAGTTGGCCGTCGTGGACATGGGATGGCACCAGGTGTTCGTTCACTGGAATTCATGGCGGCTCGAGCTACTGCCACCCATGTTTTACTCCCACCTTGGATGACCAATGTTCTGCACCATCCGAGTTGGGTGGGTCTAACGACGATCCATCCCATTTGAGTTGCCCCCTTTCATGCCCCGCAATCCCCTAAAATATTTGATTTGCTGCTGCTGATGGACTGTCATCGTTGTTGTGACGCGAATTTTCTATGTGCGCCGCGGTAAGCACTCGCATCATGAAAAGTTAGCGGCCCTAATAAGGATTAGTGTAAGTTGTCGTGCGAATGAACAAACATATATGTCAAGCGTGGACACAAGTATACGAAGTAGTACGGCATAACAAATTGCCCACAAAAAAAACACTCTTTGGTACAGTAGAATTCAACACTTCCTGTGTTATGGGTGGGTAGCATCGAGGAAAGTCATGGCGTTGTTTTCAAGAATGTTATGTCATATAAAATAAAATAAAACATAGATGAAACACCATCTCTTAATGTAAAGTTTTATTCTAGAGTTTTATTATAGGTATTTAATTTTATGACTCATGGAGAGTTGACAATCGTGTCAAGAGCTAGATGAAAATAATTTCTTCTGTCTCTTCTTAAATACACTATCATGTCATAAAAAATACCTATATGTCAATCCATTTAATGCAAATAAAACTCACACGAAACTTTCACTGAGACTAGCCTTATAAAATTTGATATGGTCGTAATTGATGTGAACTCAAAAACTCGAAGATCGATGTGTATTCATTTTGGGGGTTTGAGGACCGAGGAGAACTAGGGCCGGTTTGAATTGTTACCGGAGTTTGCCATAGGTCTGCTCGCCTCATCTCGCCTAAATTCAGCTAGCGTTTGGTTCACTACTACAGGTGCAGCATGCCACACCCTGTTTTAGGCGCCGATGCTTCAGTTTGCATACCGTGACTCGCCAAAAGTGCGGCGCTGTTGGCCGGAGCTCTAGTGTGGCAGGCTGCCGTAGTAAGCCAATCGCCCCCCTAGCTTGCAATCCGCTTGATGAAATATGTCCTCTCGTAGCTCCCGTTTAAAATGTACACATAGTAATTTTTAGGAACTGGTATATGAATTTCACATGAAAAATATTGAAACAAAAAAAGAAATTCTCTTGTTCCAAACAAGTTCCTGACCACAAAATCTATAGGTGGATATCCTAGCAGCAGGCCAAACAGGACCTAAAGTGCATACTTGTACCTCAATTATCTGCATATTCGAAAATGAAAATCTACTTGAGCCAGCTAGAGCATGTTAGCGGATGACATCATCATCAGAATTGGAGAGCTGATGACAATCGCGCGAGAGGCCGAGGGAGAGCGTGTGTTGTGTTAGTGACAAAATTGTAAAAAGGACCCAAAAGTAATTTCCCCGGCCCCAACGGCTAGAGCAGACAGAAAACACAATATAAAAACGGCTGACTGGCTTCTGGGACCTACGCTCTAGACTATCTCCAACCGAAGGTATCTAAAATAGAGACGCATACCATGATTTAGGTCGTGTAGAGTAAAAAGGTCCCATACCAATGGCGGAGGACAAACAGAAATTAAGGTGTGGCAACCGCGCATCTGACCCAGATTAATTTCCCATTGAGAGATGACATGTCTCCTAATGAAGAACATGGCCTTTAAGTACCGAGCCCCTGAGCCCCTGAGAGCTCTGTTCCTCGCAAGAACCCAAACCTTTCCCTCTCCAACCACGTGACCTGTCGATCTCCCCTCCATGGCGCAATAGCTCGAGGTGAGCGGCCCATGACCTCCCCCTCGCCCTCCTCTCTCTCCCACCTGCCTCATCGATCTCCCCCTCCATGGCGCAATAGCTCGAGGTGAGCCGGACCTTCCCGTCGCCTCCTCTCTCTCCCCAGGCAGCCATGGAGGCGGACGATGTCGGGCAAAGTCCGACGTCCATATGCTCGATGTCTGTCCGACGTCCGTGCTCTCTGCCAGTCCATGTCTTTTCTCTCTCCTTGTTATCTCCGGCGGCGGGGGAGCGGGTCCAGGTCCGGCAAGGCAGCCAAGGCCGGCGGCTCCTCTCCCCACCGGCGGCGCGCATCCTCCTGCCCCACCTGCGGCGGCGGACATGGCGACGGTGCTGCAGCGCGCCTCCCTCATCTCGCGCCTGCGAGCGGGCAAGGCACCCGGCCATGGTGGCCCTCCCCAGATCCGGGGCGGCGGTGGGGGCGCGGCGCGGATCTGGGGCGGCGATGCGGAGCCCCCCTCGATGCTGGCCGCGGCGAGGCGGAGCTGCCGCGCGGCCTCGGTCGTCCCCTTTGAGTGGTGGGCTGGTGTCGTCCCAAGGGAGGACGCTTTTTGCCTTTCGGTGGTCCGGCCAAAATGGCGGAGACGCAAAGAGACCGAGGGAGGATGGTTTTTTGCCTTTAAAGTACTGTGCGCAAAGTATTTTTTAGTTATGGGGCGCGTGATTGGAGCCTAACCCTCTCTTGCACCTTTTCCCCCCTCCAGTCCTCCACCACTCCCCCGTCGCCGCTGGTTTTGCTGCCGCCCGCGGAATTCCCGCCCCGCGCCGCGCCGCTTTCCTCCCACAGTATCCGGGCTCCTCATCCTCTTCGTCGCTCGCGGGGGTGGGGATCTGTCTGGGGCTCGTCATCCTCCCACTGCCACTGGATCCCCTCTTCTCTCCGCTCGGCAGATCGACGCGCGGTGGGGATCTGCTCGGGCCTCCTTATCCTCTCGTTTCCGTTGGTAAGGAAGCGCGCTGGCGGTTTGGGTGGATTGCTGTAGTAGCTGTAGTTTTTTTTTCCGGTTTGGGCTAGGGACTCAACCTCTGGTCCGCCCAGTTCGTTGCTGCTGGGCTTGGTTGATGCATGGCGATTTTTTTTTTCTAAAAGCAGTTTTGTTGACTGGCAGTCATACTGATGTTACAAGGGTGGAGTATATTTCTAAGAAATTCTGGGGGTTCAGTACCGCCCATGGAGATGAACTATTGCTGGGCGCGAGGTCCGGGTTTTTGTTGAGGGGTGGTGCGGGAGGCGCCAAAACTGGGTGGAGTATATTTCTAAGAAATTCTGGGGGTTCAGTACCACCCATGGAGATGAACTATTGCTGGGCGCGAGGTCCGGGTTTTTGTTGAGGGGTGGTGCGGGAGGCGCCTGGAGTTTTGATTTGTTTCGTTTGGGGACTGTGGAAACTAGACCATTTTCCGGTGATGTTACAGTTGTCTGTGATGGCTGTGAGAAGGTGGAGTGTTCCCTAGAGTTTTAGTGATGCTGTGCTGCAAAATTGTTATAATGCTGAAAGAGAGATGGGTGAGGTTTTAGAAGGGTTTAATGAAGTTTGCGCGGCAAAAGTAGGTAGACACTACCAGCTGAGCATCTGAATGAATTTGGCAAAAACCCATTTCCGGATATTACCATTGCGAGTGTAATGCACTAACGACAGTGTTGTCTTGGCGCTTTGAGGTGATGATGTTCAATTGTTACTTTGGTAGTCAGTGATGCTGATGCTACTGTTCTATTATGGCTGTAGTTGTTACTACCTGCGCTTCAGGCGGGATGCGAGTAGGTCTGATTGCTTGTAGTGAGATTTGGCACCCTTTAATGATTATAGTGTAATCAATAATGCTTGGTGTTATCTGTTTAAAGTGTGTTTCTTGAGCTAGTTTTTCATCTGTTGGTCGTTACACGCAGATTTGAGCATCATTGGATATCCTCTTATGGCATCTGATATGAGAGCACCTAGCAGTGGCAAAAAGAGTGAGATATCCCATGGCGTGGAGAAGTGTGGGGTTTCTGATCAAGCTTGTCATGGCAAATGCCAAAGCTGTGGCATTGATGTAAAACCTTTTTGTGCTGGAGTGGATGGAGTCTCCTCGTTGACTTGTGGTCATACTGATGTGAAGGCCTCAAAAGAGAACTGCGGAGCATGCAGTCTGAACAATGATCGTGCTGATTCTTTAGAAGAAGAGGTAAAGGGTTCCATAGTGAGGATAGGTCATGTTGAGAGTGCTGATCCTGATGGCTGTGTGGATGTAAAAAAGGAAAGTTTCATGGCTGTTGATGATCTACCACAGGAGTTTGAGGGGGAGCAAGCTGGGGCAACACTGGAGGATCTGTTTTTCTTTAATGGTGAAGAGGAAGATGACAGTGATTGGGAACCTGCTAGTCGCCTTGTTGAGAATAGATGGTTTTGCTTCAACTGCACAATGCCAATTGTGGACGAGATTACACATTGCATGGTAAGATTAATTTTTTATGGTCAGTCAAGCAGTGTAACTTATGAAAAGTTGCAAATTCTATTTAGTACATATTATTGTTTTGACTCCTCTTCTTTGGTGCTTGTTCTCATATTCTAGAATTGCCGTGAGCTTAAGGGATCTGTGGTAGATGGATATGATGTTTTCAAAAAGCAAATTGCACAGACAGCTTTGTTATCTGCTGACACAGGTGTTGTTTGCCTTTGAATTAATGTTCTGCCGTTACTTTTCAATTTTCATTGTCAAATGTCAGATATTTGTTAAAATTTGAGTACTTGTTTCTTATTTGCTTATCAAGGTTGGAACTATAACTAACTAAAAGAAAAAAGAAAGACGAAAGATGCACGAGAAGCTATGTATAGACTACTACTAGGTTCATTGACCTAGCCTAGTTTCAACCTCGGAAAATTCTCATTAATACAGAATTAAATAAGTAGCTAATTCTGGTTATTGACTTATGCTTGGATCGAGACTGGCCACCATAGGATCCTACTTTATTGAAATTGGCAACATATTAAGAAAAATGCTGTCACAATCTTTTCAAGTAGGCATCCTTTAATCCATGCATGTGATATGCTTATCTTTCAAATTTGGACCAGTGATATGACCAACACAAAAAAACCAACACATTGACACTGCCGCATGTTTCCAAATATGTTGACACTCTACTTGCTCCAGTTTCCTCCCTGGGCTTTATAAAACCCACCTTTGATTTTGACATGGCTTCTTTTATCATGTGATATAGTCCAATTAGCACATGTCAATGGAAATTTGTCATTGGCAAGATTTGATAAGGATCCAAAACCATCTGAATCATTTGAATCATGAAAGAAGGAAATAGAATGGTCTTACACTGTATCACAAATGTATGTTCACCGAATGTGTTCCACTGCATCAAAATAGAATGGTGTTATACTGAATGACAAATAAAAAATGTATGTTTACCATCACACAATAGTTTTAAGAATCTGAATGTGTTCCACCAAATCAATTTCTCATATGCCTATTGTATTCAGTTTCAAATTTCTCATTTGCTCACGCTATTGACTATTCTATGCAGAGTTGCTGCCAGTGTCTACAGCGATTGGTTTTGATGAAAGAATGCTGCTCCACAGTGAGGTAAATACGACTTGTGAAATTTGAACTAGCAGATATGATGATATATTGTTTGGGTTAAAGCTCTTACATCAAGGGTGGTAGCTCTAGTTAGCAAGGATATTTTGTATTGGTCTTAAGCTTTCTTCACTTAGGTGGACTATTTGTTTGATCGCATGCTGTGTATGATGTAAACCTGTTTAATGTCACATTAAAGAGCAAAATTGGAACTTATGGGCACAATTTTATACTGTATTTGTTCTGCATTTAACAAAGCTACTTTATCCATTTGTGATACCATAAGGTCTCCATTCTACCGTTTTTTTAATACTTGAGTGTTATAAATTCTGTCTTGTTTTCTCACTATGCGTCCAAAGGAAATGATAAAAAAAATCTGTTTTAACATATGGTTATACAGAACCTTTCACTAGTTGTGTTTTCTAGATTATTCCCTTCAATTCCTGACTTTCTGTCTATCACTTGTGGAGTCTGTAATTATTGTTGAACTGATGTATGATACTTCACATACTAGCAGCTAGAAGTTAAACCAAATCCGCATCCAGAAAGACCGGATCGCCTTCGCGCCATTGCTGCAAGTCTTGCTGCTGCAGGTGCATACTATCTTTTACCTTTATTAATCTGGTTGTCTGTTAAACTTTGTGTGTAGCCTATGTGTTTTATTCATGTCAAACGGGTTACGTTCGTGCAATTAAGTGTTAGTCTACTAGTCTAATAAAGTGGTATAGTTGCACTTACAAAGGTCTACTGCAAGAAAAAAATTATTGAAAATGCTGCAAGAAAACTCCAGTGCAATGTTTTGGTGATATAGTGACAAATTTACAAAAAGGGAGATGCAATCTAGATTGTATGATCTTTCCATTGTAGCAAAAAAAAAGGATGATATCTAGACAATAACTACATGATTGTGGTCTTGTAGCAAAAACACGATGTCATGTCAACAAGTGGTTTGGTGAGTGTCCTTTCTATTCTAGTTGTCATTAGTACACACTAACTCGTCGCTATATCCTTCAGGGATCTTTCCCTCAAAATGTGCTTTGGTACCTCCTCGAGAAATCACGAAGGAGGAACTCCTTATGGTAAGTAAGAGGTTTGCAGGTGTATTTCCCGAGTATAGATTTTTTTTTTGTTTCATAATCTCTCTGATAGCCCCGATGCACTGAAATTTTGGTAATTCCTAGATTCATAGTCCAGACCACATTGAAAGCGTCGAGCAGACGAAGAACATGCTTTACAGGTACTGCTTGCTTATTTTTTACTTTCAAATATTTTCTTCTTAATATTAAAGATACACAGCCCTCCTGCTTGTTCGAGACTTTTTTTTTTTTGCTTTGAAGTGCCATGATCTGTTAGTTTATCGCTAACCGTTTTGGTCATTATTAATGAATGCTTAGCCTATCTTGGCATTTTTGTGTGAAAATCATTCTTGGGCTAATAACACAATTTGCAGTTACTTCACTTCGGATACTTATGCAAATGGACATTCAGCATGTGCTGCCAAACTTGCAGCTGGATTATGTGCTGATCTTGCTAGTTTGATGGTATCTGGGCGTGTTCGTAATGGCTTTGCGCTGGTACTGTGCTTATGATCTTGTACCTTCAAAATTTTCACAAAACTTTTTCATTCTGCACAGTAAGCCTGAAACGTAATTGGTAGTTATTTATTATTCTTCATATCGATTGGGTCTATTGGAAAACAGGTAAGACCTCCTGGGCATCATGCAGGGGTGAAGCAAGCAATGGGTTTTTGTCTTCACAACAATGCAGCAGTGGCTGCGTTAGCTGCAAAAAGAGCAGGTGCCAAGAAAGTCCTCATAGTTGACTGGGTAATGATCTTGCATAGATTCTTTTGTACTACCTATTTTATAGTCAATAATGCTAATTAATGTTGATTATCTCATCAGTAGGTTCTCAATTATTGTTGCAGGATGTGCACCATGGAAATGGCACACAAGAGATATTCGAAGGGGACAAAACAGTGAGTCGTCTCCTTTCCTTTTATGCTATGGCTTTCTTTTTCTTTTAGTGTCACAGAATAGCAAAATTTAAACCTAGCATTGACTTTGTTGCCTTTTTCATGTTTTTTCTGCTTTATAGTGCCTATTCATTTTTTTCCTGCTGTATGTTTCCCCAATTTATTCTTCTGACAAAGGATCACATGGAACAGTTAATAATGATGGCAGAGATTAAATAAAGTGCAACTTCAATGTATAGTAGTGTTCTACATAACGCATTGTTGAAGTTTGAACTGCTTTGGATTTCAAATTATTCATCATGGCTGTTTTGTGGATTAATAGTAGAAACAAGGATATGTAGCTGGGTTCTTCCAGCGCTAAGTAATTAACGTCTATGTGCTATCACAACAAAGATATTATCAAACCTGAGTTCAAAAATTTAATCGTGTTATCTAACCTGTGACCTTAATCACATTTAATTACTTATTATACACTGTCCTTATGTGCACCATTGTATATTCTATATCTCCATGAGCTTGCTAGCTGTCCAAATTTACAGTTGTATGGAATGTCTGTTCCATTTTTTCATTTCAGGTCTTGTACATATCATTACATCGTCATGAGGATGGAAACTTTTACCCTGGAACTGGAGCAGCTCATGAGGTGTCTATGTTTAACAAATTTGCAGTATTATGTCTTTTTTTTCTTGAAGCTGTATAATTGAATGAAATTTGACTGCTAGCTGAATGTGTTAATAAGAACAACATGCATGATGAATCTAAACTGATTGAAAGCTTTTTTCACGTATCAACAGTACTTGGACATCTTAGAGTTCCGCCAATTGACGAGCAACTGAAATTTCTTGTTTAGATTGTAAGTGATCCAGATTGGTTAAATCTAACAGCTTTGTACACTAGAGCATTAGGACCAAAATATCAAGTACTCCCTCCATTCCAATTTATAAGACGTTTTGGCTTTTCTAGATACATTGCTATGTACTTAGATATAAATTATGTCTAGATACATAGCAAAAGCATTGCATCTAGAAAAGCCAAAACGTCTTATAATTTTGAATGGAGGGAGTACTATATATCACATTTATAATGATGAATAACACACTGGAGATTCATTTCTACTATTGTAATACATCCAATTGTACCCAGGCATATCTTGCGAACCAAATTAGGAATGGTTGTGTCATTTCTTTTTGCAATTGGTGTACCACCTTTCTCAATGTTTTGATTCCAAGCTGTTTCAAATTTGTACATGTAATTTCTTGCATGAATCTCAGGTGGGAGTTCTGGATGGTCAAGGATTCTCAGTTAATATACCTTGGAGCCGTGGTGGTGTTGGAGACAATGACTACATCTTTGCTTTTCAGACTGTGGTGCTTCCAATAGGTAATAACAAAATAGCATTGAGATGTGTGCTATTCTTATGTGCTTTGTCTTCTAGGAGATCTGGCGTTTTTCACCTTGTTAGAAAGACACGTAACTCAAATTTATCAAATTGGAATGCTGCCTTCTTTGCTTCATATGGTTGGTGTTTTTTTTTTCTTATGGGTGAAAAAACATGTTTGCTAATAGCACTTGAACCATTTGATTTACATGCCTTCATGGACTCATTTTTTATTGTTCCACAGCTTTCTTACTGCTTTTATTATTATTGTTGTTGCGAATCTTGTATTTGTGCAGCTGCAGAGTTTGCCGCAGACATCACTATAATATCTGCTGGATTCGATGCAGCTAGAGGTGACCCTCTGGGTGGTTGTGATGTAAGATTCCTCTTAATTTTGATTGCTAAACTCTAAAATGTGGCTGCTGCCCTCCTGTCCTGTGTATGCATTACATTCTTACTTTGTTTCTATTGGGAAATGAATGATAAGACTCGATACTTAAGCAGATGACTTCCCTCTTGGAAGTTAGGCTGACCTTTCTTTTTTACATTATACAGAAACCGAGTTTATTTGACCTGCTTATTTGTAGAAGCTAGATTTTGAGCTGCTTTTAAGCATTTGATTTTATCAAGGGCATGGTTCTTAAGGTGGTAAGGTGAGACGTGGCGAGGCACCCCCTTCCAATCGCCTAGGCTATCATAAGGCAAGGCAAGGCGTCGCCATATGATTCTTAGAAACTTCAAAGAAGCAGCATGGAGTAGGGAGAAAAAGGAAAAAAAAAAAAAGAAAAGAAGAAGGCATATTCACAAACTTCCTGGGTTGATAGGTTGAATGGGATTGAGGAACATAGTATGCTACTTGTGAGAGACGGTGACGAAAATGACCCTTTTTACGCGGGTTGGGGACGACGTTCCTGGGTCGAGGGTCAATATCTTTGACCCTGTTTTCTGTGACTATTAGGACAAGGCACAAAAAAGGCCCAGCCCATCAGCCAGCCCATATACCCTTCCTGGCGTGGTGCGTGACCTACCTGTACCTGTGGTCCTCCCCGCACCATTGTCAAGCATCCCAGTGCCGCCACTGCCCCTCTCCCTGTGCCTCTTGCCTCCATCCCTCCCCTGTTCTCCATATGCGCTGCTGCCACACGCAACCATTCCTTGTTAGTCGCCGAATTCTCACTCTTGGTAGTAGCAAAATTCTTACTCTCATCGAGAGAGGAGGACACTAGGAGTTGGGACAATTTTCTGGTTTATTTCTCAATGCCATGCCAACCCGAGGGGTTGGGGATACATATTTATAGGCTGCTAGCCAGCCAAGCATATGCCAAGATGCTAGTCTAAGATGTTGTCTTAGATGCTAAGATGCTGTCCTCTAGATGTTAGGCTAAGATGCTGTCCTAGATGCTGTCCTCTAGTCTAATGCTGTCCTATGCTGTCCTAAAACAGACCATGCAGCCACAAAGACCATGTGACCAGCACAGCCCCACAAAGACCAGCACATGAGACTTATCCCATCATTCCTCCCTACCTCTTACCCTTCTAGATCCCCTCTACTAGAGCTGCTGCCCTGCTGCTGCCCCTCCCAGATCTCCAATGACGAAGAAGTTGGCTTGTGAAGAAAGTTGTGATGGCGACAGGAGCTGGAGCTGATGGGTGACAGCTATAATTCTTGTCCTTATCTACTTAGGATACTTATCTAGAGTAGTTGGTGGCTGTGTCAACCCTTATCTTTATTCCTAGCATCTACTTTAGCATCTCTATAATATGCTGTAGCTTTCTTAAGGCTCAAGCAAGCTATCCTATATGTATCCCCAACTTGCCATAGTTGTGGCATGGCTAATGAAATCTGAAATTCAGCCCCAAACCTGTGTTTTGGTTATGTTCTAACAAATGGTATCTAGAGCCTAAGTTCATCTAGGTTTTACCCTTATCCCATCCCAATCCGTCGCCATGTCTCTCCACTCCTCATCCTCTTCCTCCAACCGTTCCACCACCTCCAAGATACGTCTACGTGCAGCCGCAGCAGCCCAGCGCGAGGAGGCGGCGGCCGAAAGCTGCAAAGCAAAGCCAGGCGGAGCGGCTCGGCTCGCATCGCTTAGGCGGAGCTTCTTTGAACGGCTACGCTTCGTCGGAGGCGACGCGGCGAAAGGACTACTGGCACTTTCAGGCGACGCGTCGGATGCGGAGAGCGGCGGCATTCTGCGGCTTTCTGCCAAATGAAAGCGACTCAACTTTGACGCGGGTGGCTCAAGGCGACGCGGACGGACGTGAGGTTGGCGACCGCGACGGCTTCGACATCCGACGCGGACGCGACGCGGGCGGCTTCGACGGACGCCGCCGCGACTTTGACCGGGACGAGCGGGCGGCACGCGACGCCAACGCCCGGCTGGAGCGGGAGGAGCGGCGCGAGGCGCGAGACAAGCGGGCGGACGGACGCCAGCACGCGAGCCCTCACAGTGCCGCCGCTCCCTTTTCCCCGGACCGGCCAGGGTCGCTGTGGCGGCTTCGGCTCCTCTCTCCCGCCTTTCGACCGTCGTCGTCAAGGACGCCAGCGGCGGATGGCCCTTGCTCACCAAGACCAACTACGCCGAGTGGTCCTTGGTGATGAAGGTGAAGATGCAGGCGCGGCGCATGTGGGATGTGGTACGGTACGGCGACGCCGACTTCGACGAGGATCGACGGGCACTGGAGGCGCTTCTTGCTGCTGTTCCGATGGAGATGCACTCTTCCCTCGCGAACAAGCGGACCGCCAAGGATGCCTGGGACGCCATCGCCGCGGCACGCATCGGCAGCGACCGCAACCGCAGATCCACGCTTTAGAAACTGCGTCAGGCGTGGGAGAACTTGGCTTTCAAGCCGGGTGAGGACGTCGACGACTTCGCTCTCCGCCTCAACAACCCTGATGCAGCAGTTGACGCGGTACGGCGACAACGACATCGACGAGGAGAGAGCTATCGAGGAGTTCCTCCGCGTCGTCCCCAAGAAGTACTCGCAGGTCGCCATCGCGATCGAGATGTTGCTGGACTTCTCTGAGCCGTCGATCGAGGAGGTGACGGGTCGCCTCAAGGCCGTCGACAACCGTGAGCAGCTACCTCCCTCAGAGCTGGTCACCATCGGTGGCAAGCTTCTCTTCACCGAGGAGCAGTGGCTTGCCCGCCAGCGGGAGCGGAAGAAAGGGGAGGCCTCGGGTTCTCCAGGTTCGGGTTCGTCGAGCAGCCGCAAGCGTCGGCCGCACAAGCGAGATAAGGCGCGTGGTGGCGCCGATGGCTAGCGCAAGGCTACCCGCGACGACACCTGCAACAATTGCGAGAGGACCGGCCACTGGGCCAAGGATTGCCGTCAGGCGAAGCGCGGCGGTCAGGCACACGTCGCGCAAGCGCAGGAGGGTGATGAGCCGGCTCTGTTCTTCGTACACGGGAGCATCGAGCCGCACTCCTCTACCGTGCCGGCCGCCGCCACGCTCCTCCACCTCGACGAGCCGTGGGCTCACGTCTTCCTCGGCAACGGGTCCGGCGGCGACAAGATCGACGGGTGCTACCTCGACACCGGTGCCACCGCGACCCACATGACCGGGCGGCGGGAATTCTTCTCCGAGCTCAACTCCGGCGTTCGAGGCTCCGTCAGTTCGGGGACGCCTCCGTCGTGGAGATCAAGGGCGTCGGCTCCGTCGTCTTCACCGCCAAGACCGGCGAGCACCAACTGCTCACCGGTGTCTACTGCATCCCCGTGCTGAGGAACTCCATCATTAGCCTGGGACAGCTGGATGAGAACGGCTCGCTCGTGGAGATCGAGCACGGGGTCTTACGTATCTGGGATCGCCATCGTCGCCTTCTCGTCAAGGTGAACAGAGGCCCCAACCGCCTTTACGTCCTCCACGTGCAAGTGGCGCAGCCCGTGTGTCTTGCAGCCCGCCGCGACGACGACTCCTGGCGGTGGCATGAGCGCTTTGGGCACCTCAACTTCGAGGCCCTAAAGCAGCTCGGCAACAAGGAGATGGTGCCGGGCATGCCACGAGTCGAGCACGTGGAGCAGTCTGCGACACCTGCGTCCTCACCAAGCAGCGGCGGCCCCTTTCCCGCCAGGCGAGCTTCCGCGCCAAGGAGAAGCTGGAGCTCGTGCACGGTGACCTCTGCGGCCTCGTGACACCGGCCACACCTAGAGGCCGGTGCTTCTTCCTGCTCCTCGTCGACGACGTGTCCCGCTACATATGGGCAGTCTTGCTCGACACCAAGGCGGCAGCTGCGGACGCCATCAAGCTGCTGCGGCGGAGGAGTGCGGCCACAAGCTTCGGGTGCTACGCACCGACAACGGCGGCGAGTTCACGACGACTGAGTTCGCGGCGTACTGCGCCGACGAGGGGATCCAGCGCCACTTCTCCGCGCCGTACACCCCGCAGCAGAACGGTGTCGTTGAGCGCCGCAACCAGACGGTGGTGGCCACCGCTTGCGCCCTCCCCAAGCAGAGAGGGATGCCGGCAATCTACTGGGGGGAGGCGGTGATGACTGCTGTCCATCTCCTCAACCGCTTGCCCACCAAGGCCCTTGACGGCAAAACGCCGTACGAGGCCTGGCACGGGCGTAAGCCGGTGGTGAGCCACCTCCGCGTCTTCGGCTGTCTTGCCTTCGCCAAGGAGCTCAACCATGTCGGCAAGCTCGACGACCGAGCACGCCAGGGTCTTCATCGGCTACGCTGAGGCGCGCAAGGCCTACCGCATCCTCGACCACCGCAACACAACAAGCGTCAAGATCTCTCGGGGCGTCGTGTTCGGCGAAGGGCGAGGTTGGGCTCGATATAAGGCGGTGGGCGACGGCTCGACTTCGACTCTCGAGACTTCGTTGTCGACTCGCCCACTTCGAGGGAGCCGGGGAGCTAGCAAATCATCTTCACCGAAGCTCGCTTCGTCTACCTCAAAGACCCGCTCGCCATCGCCCGGCTCGTGTAGTACTCCACCACCTACACCACCAACAAGTCCACCACCACCACTACCCGCCACGCCCGCCTCTCTACACCGGCTTCCCAATCTCCTCGCCGGCGCCCCACACCTCCTCGAGATCGGCACCAAAGCAGCCTTTTGGCCCGTGGATTTAGCAAATAAGACGGTGGAGTTCGCCACTCACCGTCTGACGACGAGGATCGCGCCGATGCCTACCACGATGAGCCTCTGCGCTACCGCACCTTGGACAACATCTTCGTGATCGGCCGTTCTGGGTCAAGGTGCACGACTTCGAGGCGGAGCTGCACCTGGCGCACGACGACGGCGAGCCCCGCTCCTTCGCTGAGGCGGAGGGAGACGCGGCATGGCGCGCCGCGATGCAGCAGGAGATGGACGTGGTCGAGCGGAACCGGACGTGGGAGCTGGCGGATCTTCCTGCCGGCCACCGCGCCATCACCCTTAAGTGGGTCTACAAGCTCAAGAAGGATAAGGCCGGGGCGGTGATCAAGCACAAGGCGCGTCTGGTGGCGCGCGGGTTCGTCCAGCAAGAGGGAGTTGACTTCGACGATGCCTTCGCGCCCGTTGCGCGGATGGAGTCCGTCGGTCTCCTCGCACTGGCGGCCCAGGAGGGTTGGCATGTGCACCACATGGACGTCAAGTCCGCCTTTCTCAACGGTGACCTGAAGGAGGAGGTCTACGTCCACTAGCCATCGGGATTCGTCATCCCCGGCAAGGAGAACAAGGTTCTTCGCCTACGCAAGGCCCTCTACGGCTTGCGGCAGGCACCCCGAGCTTGGAACGCCAAGCTGGACTCCACTCTCAAGCAAATGGGGTTCTAGCAAAGTCCTCACGAGGCTGCAGTCTACCGGCGGGGCAAGGGAGGCAATGCCCTGTTGGTAGGCGTCTACGTCGACGATTTGGTGATCACCGGCGCCAAGGAGGCCGAGGTGGAGTCATTCAAGGAGGAGATGAAGGCAACCTTCCGGATGAGCGACTTGGGCCTTCTCTCCTTCTACCTGGGGATCGAGGTCCACCAGGACAGCTCCGGCATCTCCCTTCGCCAGACCGTCTACGCCAAGCGCATCGTTGAGTTGGGCGGGCTCACCGGCTGCAACCCAGCACACTCCCATGGAGGAGAGGCTGAAGTTGAGCCGCGACTGCACGGCGAAGTAGGTCGACGTCACGCGGTACCGGAGCATTGTGGGCAACATTCGCTACCTCGTCCACACACGATCGGACCTAACGTCGTTCATACCGCATGTATGTCCGGTCCAAAGACACGATGGAGCAAGAGCAGGCCGTCAAGAGGATCCTCCGCTACGTCACGAGCACTTCCGACTATGGCTTGCACTACCCGAGGTGTCCCGTCATGGAGCACTTCATCGGCATGCACGACAACGACCTTGCGGCAAGAACATCGACACAAGCAAGAGCACCACACGCTATTCTTCCTCGGCAAGTGTCTAATCACCGGGTTTCGGTCAAGCGACAAGTGGTGGCTCATCGATTCTGGTAGGAGTACATCATCGCCACAACCGCTTCGACTCAAGCTCTCTGGTTGGCTCGGTTGCTTGGCGATCTCAGGCGAGGACGCGGGCAGTGGAGCTCGCATGGAGCAGTCAAGTCGCCTTGGCTTTGGCGAAGAACCCCATCTTCCATGAGCGCAGCAAGCATATCCGCATCAAGTACCACTTCATCAGGAGCTGTTTGGATGAGGGGAGCATCAAGGCTGGCTACATCAACACCTAGGATCAGCTCGCCGATCTTCTCACCAAGTCCCTTGGGCGGGTCAAGTTGCAGGAGCTTCGCGCCAGGATTGCGATGGTTCAAATTCCCCAAAAGACGCCACACAAGACTTAGGGGGAGAATGACAGCTGTAAGTCTTGTCCTTATCTACTTAGGATACTTATCTAAAGTAGTTGGTGGCTGTGTCAACCCTTATCTTTATCCCTAGCATCTACTTTAGCATCTCTAGAATATGTTGTAGCTTTCTTAAGGCTCAAGCAAGCTATCCTATATGTATCCCCAACCTGCCATAGTTGTGGCATGGCTAATGAAATCTGAAATTCAGCCCCAAAGTTGTGTTTTGGTTCAGTGGGGCTCTCTGGTTGTATCCCCAACCTCATGTAAGTACTAAAACAGTTTTGGGGCTGAATTTCAGATTTCATTAGCCATGCCACAACTATGGCAGGTTGGGGATACATATGCTGTAGCTTGCCTTAAGAAAGCTATCCTATATGTATCCCCAACCTGCCATAGTTGTGGCATGGCTAATGAAATCTGAAATTCAGCCCCAAATCTGTGTTTTGGTTCTGTTCTAACAATGGGGATGGGAGCACGGGTGCGCTTGTCCTTGCCTGGTCCTCCAGTTCTTCCTCTTATCCCTCCCCTCCTCTCATTTTGCTGATTTTTGGTCGTGGCTACAGTGATGCCTAGATTTTTTAGTGCCTAGACGCCTAGGTGACAACTAGGCGCCACCTTAAAAAACATGATCAAGGGTACAACCTCATGTAAGTACTAAAACTCTTTAGGGATGATCTAGAACTTATTATGACAGTATGAGTGCAAGATAGAGTTGCCTTTCTCCCAGGAAGAGATAAAATACAATATTTTTTCCATGCCTTCCGACAAAGCACCAGGACCAGATGGTTTCACGGGGGCCTTTTTTCACAAGCATATGTTGGGAAATCAACTATTAAGGACGACCACTTCATTCAACTTGAACGCCCGAGGTTTGAATGGCTAAATTAAAGCTTCCATCATCCTACTACCCAAAAAGGCAGATGCAACAAGAGTTACTGATTTTAGACCCATCAGCCTCGTCCACAGCATTGCGAAGATCTTCTCTAAAGGTATTAGCAAACAGACTTGCCCCCCGACTCAACCAACTTGTCTCCAATTGCGTAGCGCGCTTTCATAAAAAGAAAGCATCCATGATAACTTCCTATACGTCCGGTAGCGGTTCAAAGGTTGCACAAGCAAAAGATCAAATTCATGAAACTAGACATCCACAAGGCTTTTGATACGGTTCATTGGGGGTACTCGCTTGAGATTCTGCAAGCCCTAGGCTTCGGACAACGATGGCGAGAATGGATCTCTATCCTCCTGCGTACATCCACTTCCACACCATTGATTAATGGGCGACGTTAGCCATGCAAGAGGTGTCCGTCAAGGAGACCCGCTATCACCCATGTTGTTCATCCTTGCTATGGACCCGCTTCAACGGCCGCTTGATGGCCAATACTTCAATAGCGGCGAAATGGAGAACCTCAATGTATGCGGATGATGCAACCCATCATCACCCCACAAATGACGATGTTCAATCCGTCAAAGCCATCCTAAACGCTTTTGGTTCATTCTCTACATATCAATCTACAAAAGAGCTTTGGTACACCCAATCAGTCAAGGCAATCTAGACCAAGCCTATCTCACCCTTCGATATGTATCCCCAGGGACCTTCCATAGTAAGTACTTGGGCATGGCTACATCGAGCATTGCAAAAATACCGTGCAACCTCTCAGACCGTAAGTTGTGAGGTTACCCAAATGGAAAGGAAGATGGCTTAACAGGCTCGTCTCTCTTTGTAACATCCCCCTCTCCTCCATGCCAACCTACCACCTCAAAAGTTTCCTCTAGTTTGGGCTAAGAAAAAGATTGACAAAATCGGAAGATCGTTCCTATGGAAGGGGAGGAGAACGCCAATGGTGGACACCTTGTTAATCAGCCAACTGTTACCGGGCCAAAAGTTCAGGTGGGTTTAGGCGTCATCGACCTTGATAGATTTGGGAGAGCCCTCCGGTTCTGATGGCTTTGGCGAGGAATGGATGGACGACCACAAGCCTTGGAACGGCTCTGAGCTTCCATGCTCGATGTTGACCGCTCTTCAACTCCTCAATCATTATAACTTTGGGGATGGTGCAAAGACTAGTTTTGGCACCAAAACTACACGCGCCTAGGTACTTAGCACCAAACTTGTTTTGCCTAATTTCAAGGAAAAAAACCGAACGGTGAAACAAGAGCTCCCAACAACAATTGGATCTGTGACGAAAAAAATCACCTCCGCTGTCCACATGGAGGAGTTCGTGTCCCTTTGGATACGAAACAAGAAGTGCACTGGGGAAGGCGCCCAGACACCATCACTGGCGGTGGACCGGTGACGGAAATACTCCACCGCTTCGGGTCTCCAGATACAGATTCAGAGGCTCGCTCGCCTCATTCAAGTCTGAGTTGATCCTGAGTGCGCATGTGGAGAACAAATGCAAGATTTTTGCACGGATCTTAGTGCAAGATAAAATTCTAACGGCACAAAACCTACAGAGAGAGGGTGGCCACACCATCAACAATGTGTGCTCTGCAATGGCCCTTTAGAGACCGGCCTCCACCTATGCCTATGTTGCCCCTTTTAAGGGGTTTGGAATCATATCCTATCGTGGGAGAACTTCCTCGGATCCAGAAGAACCCAGGTGCAACCCAACCTGCAATCGATATCAGATCATGGTGGGAAGAAAAAAGTGGCAAGATCGAAGCGTAGGAGGCTCAACGGGACAATAATCTACACCTTCCTCGTTTGGAAAGAAAGAAATAGGAGAATCTTCGACAAACGAGATGCATTTTGCAGGTGGCCTCAAAGATAAAGGAGGATTTAGAGCAAAGGAAGAGAGCAATTGAGTATAGGTAGCAGATGACCCCACTCCGTGGGCCGGGTGTTTACACGCTTGAGGGGGGGGGAGGGGAGGTTTCTTTTCCTTTCCTCGACTATCTTAGCTTGTACATAAACTATCTTTTTCCCGCTTAATTGAAAGGCGTAGCTCCTGCCATATTTTCAAAAAAAAAAAAAAGATGCATGTTCCTTTTGTTGTACTTGGCAGTAGGTCCAAAGTACTGGCAAAAATATAAGAAGCGATTAAGTTCACTGAAGTTCCCAATTGGAAGATTGGAAGCAAAACTCAGTGCAACCTTTGATTGATATTACTCTTGTTTTCTAGTCGGTTGTTCTGTAGACTTTCAGGTTCTTTTTAATGTTGGAGTTGTATTGACGTTTTCTGATGTGCAATTACATTACATGCTGAAGCCACATTATGCTAACTCATAGTTTTTGTGTAACTTTCCTTCTTCAATATTAGGTCACTCCAGCTGGATACTCTTGGATGACATCCCTGCTAGCTGATTGCTCAAATGGAAGATTGTTGGTGATACTTGAGGGAGGGTACGTACCTGGTTCTCTTCTCAATTTGAGAAAAATATAACCAATTTGTAGAAAGTTGAAAGTTAGGTAGGACATTATACGTGCTACTGCTATGCTCTATGTCAGACATTAAGCCCAAACAAAAAGAATCTAGGACTTGATTGTTATGCTATGTGCCTATGCAACTTCATTAGGTGTATATGTTTTAACTAAAAAATGGGTGACTGAGATGCCAATGCCAAGTTGCCACATCAAGGTTCAAAGGAACGATTGCTTGTATGCTGCTGCTGTAGTATTGGGCTGAAAATGTGGAACCTACTGTGCATAACAATCCTTAGGGTTATACTCCCTCCATTCCTTAATATAAGGCATATAGATTTCTAAAGAAAATTCCAAAATATAGGTACGTATCAGCTCCCATGCCGATTAGTTTGGAAACCTTCCCACCGTACATAGCACATGCCCCAACCAATCCCTTAGATTTAGGAAGCAATCTGATTGGGAGAGAGAAGATGGCCTGATTTTCCTTTTTTTCCTCGGTCTCACATCCTTCCCCAAGCCGTGCGTTAATATTGGTGCTAAAAACTATATGGCTTATATTAAGGAACGGAGGGAGTATTTTTTTTTAAGAAAATGGTGCCTTTTTATTGACAAAAGTATCTTACTCTAATAAGCGTTCTGGTGTTAGGCCCTTTTTGAGAAAGTTCCCCGGTTAATACTCACAAAACATCTGTGCTGTCCTACAGATACAATCTCCGGTCGATATCCTCATCAGCTACTGAAGTTGTTAAGGTCTGTATTCCTTCGAATAAGTAATAGCATTAGTTGTGTGAGAATGGGATGTGTAAATATTTCAATTTTTTTTCTCAAACACGCAGGAGAGCTCTATATCATTTCATTAAGAAAGAAATGTAGAAAGATAGGAGCTAGGGACCCTCATTTCCAAACACACCCCACAGACCCCTTGATATAATTTTAACAGTTTAGCCACACAAAATTCAGCGACCAACTCACACAACACAGACTAGATGTCTGGGTAAGCGACCTTAGGAGTAACTCACAGAGCCCTTCAGCACCGACCATGCACAAGAGAGCATCTCATCAGCAACTTCCTGCAGCACTAGAGACCCTTGGTTGTGCACCATTGAAGACAGTCATTCTGGTGCTTCCAAATGTAAATATTACAAAAATGTGTTTAATGTATCAGCTGCTTGTTAAATTTCCAGAAAGAAGCAACAGTTTTATATTCCTATGAACATCTTGTAGTTCAAGGACTAAAGTTTCAGGGATTGTTTCAAGGTTTGCTTTTTTAGCATTAGGCAAGATATCGATGCTAAGATGTCAAGCATCGTGCAGTTATTTGGTCATAGACATGCTAACACTCGACAACATGGTAGATTGTGAATGCAGATAATTAGCCTTTTGATGCTGTCGTCCATTTAGCAGTGGGTTAATTATTTGGTTTTTGTGATGAATGCAGGTCCTACTCGGGGATGGTCCAAATCGTGCTTCATTTGTAGGTTCACCATCAAGAGAGGCCTTGAAGACTGTTTCTCAAGTCCTGAAGATTCAACAACAATTTTGGCCAGTTTTAGGTCCAACATATGCATCACTACAGGCACAGCAGGGGTCGGTTTCTTCCAATCATAGTGAGTAACATCACTGGTTATTGAATTGCATAACCATCATGAAACCTCATAGCGAGAAGGCTGGTTACCTTTGGATTTGATATTAGAGATTTGCTTCCTAACAATTTATATGAATTGCTTAATAAGAAGTGATGATCTGAACGTGTGACATGATTAGAAGAAATCCAAGCGAAGTTTGATCATGCATTGGATTGCAAAACAAAACATGCAAGCATTAATTTCAAGCACCAAGGAACAACTTTGCACTGAATATATCTTTCATTCTTTCTTAAGCTGCTCCTGAATCTTGATCAAAAGTCGGGATGGTAATGGGTTGGGTTGGGTGTGGGGGGAGTAAAAACCTGTCCTCAACACATTACCTAAGGGGTGAAATTCTGCACTTGCACCCATGGGTTGGACCCCATGCTGTGAAGTTTCCTGCATGATTGCCATATTTGCTTGGCTCCATGCATGCACGAAAGCTCGTACACCACACCTTTTGTTTTAACTTACTATTTTTCTGGTTTCAGTTGTTGAGTTAGCCTTTTGCCCCGTTTTTTTTTTTTTTGAAAGGTGCCTTTTGTCCCTTAGTTGTGCAACTTTTTTCAATGAACATCCCTCCACCACCGCCCATAGGTGAAGTCATGGACTCTCACCTGCACCTGCATCCACAGGTGGAATTTTGCACCCACACCGACCTGTTGTGGCATCCCCGAGTACCCCGCACCAGTGGGTTGGACTGCCATCCCTAGATAAGATGTGTTGGATCTTGATTTGGCTCTTAGTTCATTTCTGAGTATATCATGAAGGCTATAATTTATCTGAGGATATATTCTTTTTCTTGTATACTTGTTTTACTAATTACTACTCCCTCCGTTCCGAATTATAAGACGATTTGGCTTTTCTAGATAAATTCCTTTTGCTATGAACTTAGATATATGCTATGTCTAGATACACATAGTAAAAGCAACGTATTAGAAAAAAGCCAAACATCTTATAATTTGGAACGGGAGTATTACTCTTGATTAGAAGGATTCTGATATAATTCTTTGTTTTATATGTATAGTCACCAAACATAATGAGCTGAAGAAAAGGAAGCATTCAGGCGGATTAGGGCCCTTCTGGTGGAAGTTGGGAAGCAAAAGGCTTCTGTACGAAGCGCTTTTGGAGCGCCGTCGTCAGAGGAAAATCAAGGGGTCCGGAGAAGGAAAAGCAACTGGTTTCAGCAGCACCTTAGATGGGTAGTTCGCTGACTGTTGATCTTCTAGGCATGAACAGGGTAGTTCGCTGACTGGGTTTCCTAAAGCAGAGTAGCTTGCGTTTACCTAGAGCCTAGTTTTGACTGGTTACTTGCATGATGGTCTGCCGTTTCAGATGAAGTTTGACAGCAACCCGTTGTGTTAACATGCGTGGTGTATCAACCGAAGTTTCATGTTACCATCTTTTTCTTTGGTTGGTTCGTACCATAGATGTATGTACTGGTCATCGATAGAAAAATCTTGCAGAGCTGGAATGGCATGCATCTCAGTTATTAGACCCTGTTATTGCATATGGATTTTTGCTGATTTTCTGCGTGACTGACTGCGACGTCTGATGTGCATTTGTTACTCAACTGATTCACCGTCTTTCAAGTGTGTTAATTGACTTGGGATTTTCATGTACTATAACGTGAAGCGGATGGTGGTGTTTTTCATGGAAATGGATTCTGCTGCCTTTGAGGAGCTGTTGCATGTCACATCAGTATCTTCTCGCTCTGAATATATCTTGTCCGGTGGTCATTTTTATCTGCATCTTTGATAGGTCAGTTACCAGCCATCCATCATTGATCACCATCACTGACTCCGCCCTTGTGATACTGAGGTGGCCAGAAGTTTGATCTCGACTGTTATTTTTGCCTTAAAGGATGAAGCCATTTGCTCTGGTTTGATGTGTATACAGTATATCTCTATCTTGTCGCAGAGCATCTGGCTTGCATTCGATGAAAATTGTATATTTCTTTGTAAATTCAATTATTTGTATATAAATAACCCTTGGGTGGGCTGGAGTTTTGAGCTTATGGCTTCATCCACCCAGATTAAACCTTAGCTGCATACATGTATATGTGCGCTAAGTTCTAAAATTACCTTTTTTTTTTGTTATAGTAGAGTAGCAAGAAGCTCTTTACAGGAGGTGATCTTAATGGCCATGGCCCTGTTTGCTGTGGGAGGAATCTAGAGGAATCTATGAGAGGAAATCATTCGTGAACAGTAAAATTCAGTCGAACAGTACTTCTTTCGTACCAACCGAACGCTGTCCATGTAGGTACATCAAGTGCAGGTTTCGAGACGGTTTATGGGGTTTTCGGATATGGTAGTAGGAACCAGGAGGAGAGAGGAAGTCTTAGACTTTGTCATAGCTTTTGATTTAATGATAGCTAACATTTTCTTCCGTCAGAGAGTCCCATTTAGTGATCTTTAGTAGCGGTTAATACTCTAGTCAAATCGACTTTGTCCTTACAAGGAGGGATAAACGAACATGCGTGGACTGTAAGGTGATACCTAGAGAATGTGTGGTCGCTCAACACAAGTTGGTGGTGGCTGACTTTCGCTTTCTGGTGCAAGCTCGTGGGAACAAACAAGCTAGGGTTGCTAGAACGAAGTGGTGGAAATTAGAAGGGGAGGCATCAAAGGTCTTTAAGGATAAGGTCATTGAAGAGGGCCTTTGGAATGATGAAGGCGATGCAAACAGCATGTGGGAGAAGATGACAACATGCGTTCAAAAGGTTGCTTCAGATGTGCTTGGAGTGACCAAAGGGAGCGGATGCGACTCGAAAGACACTTGGTGGTGGAATGAAGATGTGCAAAAGGCTATTAAGGAAAAGGAGTGCTATAAGTGCTTATACCATGACAGGCGCAAACAACATAGAAAAGTACAAGGTGACAAAGAAGACTACAAAACGAGCGGTGAGTGAGGCAAAGCGGGCATATAAGGACCTTTACCGACGTTTGAGTAGAAGGAAAAGAGAAGGACATATATAGGATGGCTAAGGCTCGCGATAGGAAGACAAAGGACTTTAACCAAGTCAAGTGCATAAAGGATAAGAGTGAGCAGCTCTGGGTGAAGTAGGATGAGATTAGACATAGATGTCACAAGTATTTTTGATAAATTATTCAATGGTGAGAACGAGAACAAAACCGTTCAGCTGGACGACTCGTTTGATAACACTAACAGACGCTTTGTGCGGAAGATTCAAGAATCGGAGATCAGAGAAGCCTTGAAAAGGATAAAATGGGGCAAAGCGATGGGCCCTGATGGTATCCCAATCAAGGTGTTGAGATGTCTCGGGGATATAGCAATAGTATGGCTAACCAAGATGTTCAACAATATCTTTCGATCGAACAAGATGCCTGAGAAGTGGAGAAGAAGCATATTGGTACCAATCTACAAGAACAAGGGAGATATCCAAAGTTGTACTACTTATCGGGGAATTAAGTTGATGAGCCACACTATGAAGTTATGGGAGAGAGTCATCGAGCAGCACCTGCGAGGAACGACGCAGATATCAACAAACCAATTTGGTTTCATGCCCGGAATATCAACCACAGAAGCAATCTTCTTAATAAGGCAGGTTATGGAACGGTTTGGAGAATAAAAGAAGGACCTCCACTTGATTTTCATGGTCTTAGAGAAGGGTTATGACAAGATACCAAAAAATGTTATGTGGTGGTTGAAAGGTCCTAATATGGCTAGAGGGAGGTGAATAGCCTATTTAAAATTCTATAAATCAACTAGAGCAATTTGATTAGTAAGACAAATAGCGAAATGCAAACTTGCTCTAGCTCTACGAGGGTTGCAAGCCACCTATCCAACAATTCTAGTTGCAATGATTACTAATCACACAACTTGCTATGATACTACTCACTAAGAGCTCTGAAAGGTCCCTATGTGGTTTTGGTAATTGAGTGACAACTTAGGTGGACTAATTATGTTTATGTGAGATACACAGGTGATTAGTCCACAGGTACATGTGTGTGAGCAACATATGCCATGAAGGTGAAAATGGCTTGGAGATGTTGCAAAGCTCACACATGTGATGATGAAGGAGCTTAATGCACATGAGACATGACATTGAGTCATGTGATCAAGGTGGAGAAGATCAAGACAAGACTTGGCTTGATGGACCGGTTGCAAGCGTGAAGGGCAAGTCGAAGGCTTTGGAGTGATGGACCGCGTGGCGGTGAAGCTTGAGCAAGACTTGGCGCCGATGGACGATGGCAACGGTGAAGGGCAAGTGAAGTCAAGATCGATGAACCAATATGATCACGTGATGATATGAAGTGGATCATATCATTGTTGATCGTGTCGGTGCATGTGTTGCATCGACGTTGGAGGAGATGGAATGGAATGCGCAAGGCAAAGGTATAACCTAGGGCATTTCATTTCACTGGTCATAGGTGTGTAGAGAAGTTTATGACCAGGTTTAGGATAGATGGCCGTACTATCAAGAGGGGCAAACTTGTTTGCATATCGGTCATCTAGTGCCACTCGAGTGATCTAACTTTGCATCGTCGCTAGGATCGAGTGGCGTGGCAAGTTGAGTGGCTAACATCCTTTGGGAAATGATTGTGAAAAGCTAACACACATACACATGGTGGTGTACACTTGGTGGTGTTGGCACATTTACAAAGGAGGTGGTGTTTGCAGGGTTGAGATGGATTCGGCGCTTTCAGAAAAATGGAATGCCTATTTTCTATTGCGCCAGATGTAAATTCTTGTGGTTGGCACATTGGAGCAAGGGTGAAGAAGTTAGAAGTGAAAACGAGTTGATCGCGAAGATGCTGGCGTCGGTCTACTGACCGGACGCTGGGTCATGCAGCGACCGGACGCTGAAAGGCTGCGTCCGGTCAAACTGACGGGTTTGCTCTGTACCGAGGGTATTGCACCGGATGCTGGTCTGTGTCCGGTCAAGGTGGACCGGACGCGTCCAGTCGAGAAAATATGCCTCGGGGAGCTTACTGAAAACGACCGGACGCTGGGGCTTCAGCGTCCGGTCAGTTTTACCGCTGCGTCTGGTCAGGTCAAGTGACTGTTGGGATCGGGACGCGTGGCCGTCTGCGGACGACCGGACGTTGAGGTCCAGCGTCCGGTCAACACGACCGGAGCGTCCGGTCAGCACGACTTTTGCCCAGTGAAGGGGTAACGGCTAGTTTAGCCCTTGGGGCTATAAATAGAAGTGGCCCTTGGCCATGGCTGGTGCTGAGCACCTAAGGGGACTTAGTGTCCATGCTTGTGAGTGCTTGGGAGCCCTCCATCACACATATACTTGATAGTGATCATTCGATTGTGTGAGTGAGCGATTCTAGTGCGATTGCATCGTGAGGTTGCATCGAGTGGCACTAGGTGATTGAGTTGCAAGCCGGTGGTGCTTGTTACTCTTGGAGGTTGCCACCTCCTAGACGGCTTGGTGGTGGTCTCCGTCGAAGCCCGCAAGAAGCTTGTGCGGCGCTTCGGAGAAGTGCTTGTGAGGGGTACTTGTGCTCGCCCCGCGGGAGTCACGAAGAGCAACTTTAGTAAAGCGTGTCATTGAGCTACCCTCACTCAAGGGGTAGGTTCTTGCGGCGCCCGACGTGCGGGCTTAGCGGGTGATGCTAATTAGCCGCCAAACCACCAAGTGAGCGGTCGACACAACGGGGACTAGCATGTTGGCAAACACGTGAACCTCGGGAGAAAAATCATCGTGTCAACCTTGTTCTTCCCGTTGGTTTGCATCCCCATTACACAAGCTTGCAATTACTTTTATATATATTAAGCTTGTGTAGTTGCTCTTGTAATTAGATAGCTTGTGTAGCTTGCTAATTACCTTCTTGCTTGTGTAGCATAGAAGTAGCTCCCTTGCGTGGCTAATTTGGTTTTAGTAACCTTGTTAGTCACATTGCTTAGTTTGTGTAGCTAAGTTCTTGCGCTCTCTAATGGTTGCCTTGTTATTGAGCATTGCTAGTGAGCATAGTTAGCTTTGTGCTTTTGCTTACTAGCATGTGTAGGAGCTCCCTTGTTACTTAAAGTACTAGTGGCATAGGTTTGTGTGACCTTGCTCCTAGAATTGTTTAGGAGAGCTCTAGCTAGCCCAGCACCTTAGTTGCTTTATTAGTATCTTTGCAAGGTGCTATAGAACATATATTGAGGGGTGTAGTCTTGGCTAGACCGATAGTTGTTGTCGGTGTTTCGGAACCGGGGGTCCTTAACCGACTAGTGAATTTGTGCTGCGT